CTCTGCATGCCAGGAGGAATTGCTGCACCGAAATCATCGAACAAATCTCGCTGCAATCCTCCTAATCCATAGATGCGGCCCTTATTTGGAGAGACCGACTGAAAAATAAAAAAAATATTTAAAATTGAAATAAAATATTAAAATATAATATTTAAAAATGAATTATTTTAAGTTGTACCTCCACATAGCAACGATCTTGGTCCGATGCAGAGAGACCGGATGAAGAACCCGCTGAATCGCCAACATTTTGCGAGAGCTGGGTGAGTCGTTGAGTTACCGTGCTTACAACTCGTTCTGCACGGGGATCGACATATGTCCCATCAGACTTTTTGTGTGTCCGAGCGACCAACTCTACAATTGATGGCGTTCTCCCAATTTCTTTCTCCTATATATATATTATTAACATAATAAAAAATCTACAATTAAAAAACTAATTAAAAATTAAATTAAAGTTTAAATAAATACCATCTCTTTTTGCCTCTTCTTGAATGATTTAGCACCGGAGGTATGACGATGAGGCCCATCACCCTCGATTTTTTGGGCCAGACGACTTTGTTTCGCCTTGGAACTCTTGTTCTTGAAATGGTCTGAGTTCCAATGCGAAAGAAGCTGCTGGTACAAGTCATTTGTTGCCCATTCCGGTGGCAGTCCATGCAGCTGATGACGGCGTTTGGCATTGTTCATCATTTGTTTCAACCGCTGCATACCCAGCTGGTTGAACTCTTTGTAAACTTTATCGGTGTACTTTTTTTTCCACCGAAAAGATTGCTTTAAAAGAAATTAGAGTTAGTGATTATTTATTTTATTTAAATAAAATTTTAAAAATATAACTTACGATGAACGAATGCCACCAAGAACGTTTGATGTTGTCCGGTACCACCGTCCAACAGTAGTAGAGTTGAGAAAAATTTGATATTATTATTGCTGTAAATTTTTTCCTCAAATCTTTATCGTTAACCCCGAACCTAATTATAATAACAATAGATTAATATTAACTAATAATATAATTTAAAATAAATATTAAAATAATTTAATTTATAAATTACCATAACGCCCCGTCAAGTTCGGGATCGATTAGCGGGATCTCGCGAGTGTCGAAGGAATTTAAAATTTCTTCTACCTCCTCCAGAGTTATATCAATCTCTGGGAAAAGTGGAGGAGCGTCCACCGGTTCCGGAAGACGAGAAGGTGGTGGTGGCGGCGGTGGCGGTGCTCCAGAAGAACCCGCTAACAATCCTCCGGAACCAGAAAATCGCCTACGAAACTGTAAAAAAACAATAGTTAGTTATTAATATAAAACATAAATATTAAAAGATTGAACAAGAATTGAAAACCAATTACCATTTTGTAGTTTTTTTTTGGATGATTTTTTTTTTTGCTCGTTTTTTTTTTGAGGTGTTGGAGAATGATGGAGAAGAATGGGGCCGCTTGCCTTATATAATCGACAATTCCAACGGATTTCCAACGGGTATCCGTTGGAAATCTCTGGGCGCATTTAATGTTATCTGATAAATTCCAACGGATGTCCGTTACAATCTTCATTTCCAACGGGCATCCGTTGGAAATATTCTGGAATGACGCGATGGACGCCAGGTGCGTCGAACGGATTTAATGCTTCAGAATTTCCAACAGATGCCCGTTGGAAATGAAGATTGTAACGGGCATCCGTTGGAAATTATCAGCGGATTCAATGTTTCAACTATTACAACGGGTGTCCGTTGGAACTTTCCAACGAATATCCGTTGTAATTCTGGTGTCGATTCGATTGGTGCGCTTAGATTCCAACGGACGTCCGTTGGAATATATGTGATCATTCGAATTCTGCGATTCGATTCCAACGGATGCCCGTTGGAATTTAACAATTTTTTTTTTAAAATACAAATAAATATGATAGATTTTTCAAAATACAAATACATATGAAAACAATAAAAACAAATAAGTCTACATAGAATCTTCATCACTTTCATCATCCGGAGTTGTATCATGGTCCGAAACGAATTCGTCTATATCGTCTTGTACGTGTAACGAATCATCAAGTAACTCGTCGTCTATGTCAGGAAGTGCAAGTGTCTCGTCGTAATCATCATCTAGTCGGATGGGAAGAACCGGATCTTCGAGTTGCTCTTGCATTGGCTCATCGAGATCTTGTGTTGTCGACGACGAATCCACGATAATTAATCTTCGTGGGTTAATCTTCAAAACAGTCGACCATTGATCTTCCCGTCGCCGTTTCACCGATGTCGCAGAATGTTTCGGATATGGAATGAAGCATACCTGGTCTGCCTGATCTGAAAGTATAAAAGGATCGTACTTTGCATATGAACGTTTCAGATTTATGTCATATATCTCGAAAGAATATGCTGATACCGCATAACGCTCCGTGGACACTGGGTTTCAATAGCTCCGCAAATGCAATAGGAATGAGTCTTTGCATGAATACATGACAATCATGACTCTTCATTCCCATAAGCTTTAATGAATCAGTATCAACACATCGCGCCAATTTGGATGCATATCCATCAGGGAATTTAACCTATTCTTTTACCATGATCGTAAGTGTGAAACGTGTATCCTCGGGTGAACATTATCGGCCAGCAAATGACTTTTCTTCCAGGTCCATGTGATATATCTCTGATCCATGCCGGAATTCTATCACTGCATGACTGAATCTGCGCATAAAAATTAAATTAATACACAAATACATACACGTACATATATATATATAGCTAGAATACTTACGTAGTCTCGAAGCCAAGATGCATAATGTTGTTCCTTCATTCCTTCAAGTTCCTCCCCACTTAGGTTAGGATATGTTGCCAAAACATCCTCGTCAAAAAGTCTTACAAAAAAAAGTTGTTAGCAAATATATATGTAATTAATTAATTTCTAATCACATCTAAGATTAAAAAATGTGTACCTTTCGTATGGCTTAAGTTCTTCACAATTCAACAGTATATATGTGGCGATGTGATTGTACTCTTGTACTGTTAACCAATATTCTTCAGATTTGCCTCCGAGGCGTCCAGTAGGCTGAAAGCTTTCGGGAATAAGTCCGAAACATGAATCATAGTGGTAGAGATAACTTCTATCGTCTTCGTTGATAGCCCTCCTTGTCTTCGTCTGAATATGAGATTCAAAATAGAAAGAACTGAAGTAGGAGATCTCCTCTTACAAATACTGTTTGACGATAGATCCTTCCACTGCTGCTTTGTTTTTTGCCTTCTTCTTCAGATGGAAAAAAAATCGCTCAAATGGATACATCCATCTAAACTGTACTGGACCACCGTATATCGCCTCATCTGGTAAATGAATAGGTAAATGTTCCATCACATCAAAAAATGAAGGTGGAAATACATTTTCCAATGTGCAAAGTATCTCAGGAATGCTGTCTTTCAAAACCTCTACATTACTTCTTCTCAGAGATCTTGCACATATATCTCGAAAGAATGTGCTGATACCGCATAACGCTCCGTGGACACTGGGTTTCAATAACTCCGCAAATGCAATAGGAATAAGTCTTTGCATGAATACATGGCAATCATGACTCTTCATTCCCATAAGTTTTAATGAATCAGTATCAACACATCGCGCCAATTTGGATGCATATCCATCAGGGAATTTAACCTCTTCTTTTAACCATTTAAACAAGACCGTTTTACCTGGTTTTGTGAGTCTGAATATCGGCACAGGTGCGCGACCATCACGTGTCAACTTCAGCTCTTTTCTCTTGCATATATCTTTCAAGTCCTTCCTCGAGTTGATGTTATCTTTACTTCTCCCTGGCACATTCAGAACGGTGTTGATGATGTTATCAAAAAAGTTTTTCTCTATATGCATAACATCCAGATTGTGTCGAAGCGTTAGCGAACTCCAGTAAGGCAAATCCCAAAAAATACTACGCTTATACCAGTTATGCCAATCACCAAATCCTTTGCACTTCTTATGCCCAAAATTTCCTCCACAATGCACAGAAGCTTCCAAATCATCCAAATATCCACTATTTATTCGCTCAGAATAAATTTGCTCTCCGGTTTGCATAACAGGACCTTCCTCAGTAACGATTTTACCTTTGGTAAAAAGCGTACGATTTTGTCTGAACGGATGATTCCTTCGAAGAAATCTGCGATGACAGTCAAACCAGCACGACTTTCTCCCATGTCTCAACTGAAACGCTTCTGTTTCCTCCATGCAAAACGGACATGCAAGTCTTCCATGTGTGCTCCATCCCGATAGCATGCCATACGCCGGAAAATCACTGATCGTCCAAAGAAGAACC